GTTCAGAAAAATAATTTGTATATTATAGCATAGTTACCATTGTTCAACAAAAATTAATTTAACTCTATTACTTTCCAGAGAAGTCATAGTTTTTTCGTGTTCGTTTTTTTTTCTTAGATCATGATTGCATTTTATAATGATTGTGTTCTTCAGAGGAACCTGTGCATACACGGTACATCTCATTCTTTTCATCTCCTTCCCCTTCTTTCCTTCCCATATGCATCTTTTCATCACCTTTAATTTGCAGAAAGAATCTGCTTCTCTATTTCCTATGATCAATCATTTATTTTGCTCAGTTTTATAAACATCGTTTTTAGCTCACTTTATCAAAGAGGAGTAAATGCGCACAAAACCTGCTTTCATTTATTCACAATTGCATTAATCTGGAAATACATATATAAAGGCAAAGAAATATTTTACTTTTGATCCTGCAATGCCAGTTCTTTAAAGCAAAATGAAGAAACAATTCATGATACAAATAAGCTTCGTGTGAAGTGTCATCTATAATTAAGACTAATTTCCCCTCATTATACATTGCAAAATATGGTTATATGTGTACCTCCTGTCAAATAGGTGTCATTTTTAAAGAATTATTTTTAAAAACCATTTTATAATATGATAAACTTTGTGTTTACATTTATGTTATCAGAATGGAATATGTAATGTACACAACCTTCAATCACATTTTAGTGGAATGCTAGAGGAAAAAATACATACACGCTTTCTCTTTTTATTTTTTTAGATTACCTAAACAAAGAAAAGCTTTTTAAATATTTCCAATAGTAATCCTTATTTTAACTAATTAAAACAGCCTGAGAACAATAATTAGGCAGGATAATTTTTAATGGCTTTAATCTATTTACTAGTTATGTAAAAGAGCAAAATATATGCAAAAATAAAGATTTTATTTAGTAGGTACTTGAGGGAAGCAAATATGGTCTGGGAGATTCAGGAAGCACTCACATATGGAGCATTCGATACTAAAGGTGTTTGGGGGAGCAGGATGCGTCATACATTCATACGTTTCACCTCTTAACATCTACAAAGGTGTGATTTGGGGAATAACTATAAACAGAAAAATGTGTTTATGTATGAGTGCTCATCTCTGGATCATACGTAAACTAGAAATAATGAATATATTCTGTGAATATATTCTCGTAGATTGTCCTCTCCAGGAGCTAGTCTTAGAATTCATGTGATAGCTTTTTTATTAGCTATTATTAAACTGAAACAAGAACCTTTCATTTTTTTCCATAAAGTAGTATGCGTTTGGGTGTGTGTAGATGTGTTTATGTACGTATGTATAGATCAGTAAAATTGTATTTACCTAGCATGGATATCTATTCATTAATAAAGTGATTATCTTTACTCTCTTGACAAAATATCCATAAATAGTCATGCAGTCCTGTCCATTTTTCAGTGAAGCAAACCATAAATTCCCTGAACATTAATTGGAACAAAGCAAAATATTTCCTAGTTTAATTAAAGCTTTGTTATAACCTCTATACAGAAGAGAAACAAAGCGAGCACATCGCTCTATGAAGTTTTCCTTCTGAATATGCAAAAAAAATGAATGAGATGATAGGTCAACTTGGCTGAATTGGGAATAGAAGGTATTTTTTCTCATGATTTAAAAAAAATGTTTGTTAGGTGTGCAGATATCTCAGGTCCCACTTGTTAACATCATTATTCTGCCTAACATTATTGGAGGCATCTTTCTCCTAAAATATAGAATAGATGGTTTTCTTTGGGGAATCTATCTATCTCTCTATATATCTATGTATCTATGTATCTATGTATCTATCTATCTATCTAAATATATATGTATATATATTGTTGTTGTTCTTGTTTTTACTTTTTTGTTTTTTCTTTTCTTTTTTATTATTTTTTTGAGAAACAAATAGTAATGTGACAGTTTCAAAACCGATTTGTAGGACAATTTAAATAGTTAACACATTACATATTGTTGTTCTTCCTAGTGATTATTCATAGTACAAGATGCAGGCATGATATCCTGTCCACAAACACTATTACAACAACTTATTCTATTCATTGAATTAAGAGAAAGTAGTTGTATCTATCCTAAGTATTTTATATATACAGATACAAAAATGGTCTTTCATTTGTATCCCCTTTTTTGTTTAGTTTTGTCAGACATGGGTATTCCATTGTTATTCAAATATTGTAGGTGTGTGAACTCAGCAAAATAATCCAATAGAGTCCAGTAGTCCATAATACTAGTGGATTATCCATAGGATTGGCAATGTGAGAATTTGTTCACTTGAGTTTTTTACAACTCTGCATGTAAATATGGCTTTATAAACTTAACAAATATTTATTGTACATATTTTCCTGTCCTTCGTTAGAGTTTAGAAGAATACACGGTTTGTATGCAATTTTTATCACTTAGCTTTTTACTTGGCTTGTTGAATATAAAATGAAACTTCAAAATTTAATATACTACAATTATTTATAAAAAATTTTAAAAAGTATAGCTTTTACCGAACATTATCCAGTATTTATTCTAATAAAGTTAATCTTATTATTAGCTAGCAATACTTGATGTCATCAGTGAAGTCTGATAATGAAACTACCCAAGTTTGATTCATATAAATGTGTAGATTCACTTAGACTATTAATAGGGTCACATTATATAATACACTTTTTTTCTGTTTTATCCACTTGGTTATATTTTTTACTTTTTATTTTTTTGCCATAGTTTTATTGATAAACAAATAGCAATGAGACAGTTTCAAATCAAATCGGTAGGACAGGTTCAATAATTAACACACTGCATACATTCTTCTTAGTGGTTAATTGCTATACAAGATGCGGACTTGATATCCTATTTACAAACACCATTAGAACAAATCATTCTATTCATTAACAGAACGTAACTATGTATCTATCCCAACCACTTTGAATACACAGATACAAATGGATATTCATCTGTATACCTTTTTTTTGTTAAGTTCCGTTATTTGAATATTATAGGTGTGTAAACTCAGCAAAATTTTCCAAAAGAGTCCAGTAGCCCATAATAGTATTGGGTCTTCCGCTTGACTGGCAATGTCAGAAACTGTTGACCTGAGTCCTGTACAGCTCAACATAACGGTATGGCTTTACTTCTTCTATTTCATTCTTATACTTTTCTTCTGGATGGTTAACACCAAGGTAAAGCAGGACAATGCAACAAGAGTTGTAGCTTTTGGGTCTGATAAGGTCAATGAAATCCCCTCAGGATTTATCCTGAGATCCTGTACCACAGATTGTAGATCCTTTGTCAGTGTCAGCCATGTGGATGAGACATAACCACTGCTTGGCCAATATACTCTCTGTGAAAGCCTGAGAGAATATTTTCTCTCCATGTGACTCTCCTTAGGCACACTCTACATCATCGATCACTTTCCTCTTTGGCCTCATAATCTCCTTGATCAGAAAATTTGGGACACTACCGAGTTACATAATGTTACAGTAGAAGTTCTCATATGTTCTGAGCCTTAATTGACCTTAGAAGGGTAGGTCCAAAATGTTGGCTTTCCTTGCAGCCCTCCTTTTTCTCTAATTTTGGCCTGCAAACTTAGGTTGTTAACCATCCAGAAGAACAATATCCTTTCATCTGCATTTCTACCTTAAAAAGTATTCTTTGAAAATGTGTTTACATCACTAATTGGAGACTAAATCTGTTCTAAATAATTTATTTTAACATTGATTAAAGCTAAAGTTACATGCACAACAATTATGTTAATAGCACAACTTTGAACAAGTTTTAAAATATTTACCCAAGAATTTGAGAATATAAAGCGTGACTGTACTCAATACAAATATCCATGGAGATAACAATACCCTTTTCAGAATACACAGGAATTGAAGATTCTAAGAACTTAAAAGTAGCCAAGTCGGACAAGAAACTTTTGTCACATTTATATTTCCTGTATATTTGTGAAGAATGGAATGATTCTTGGATAGATTTTATAATAAAAATTCCAAATTGGTCACAATTATTTATTATAAAACTTCTTGCCTATGAGTTTAAGATGTTTATCTGATTTTGAAGGATGTTTTATTTTGTCATGAATATTTCCTATTGAAAATTAAAGTTGCCTATAATCTTGCTGTATCAAACCATCTATCATAGTTTTAAAAATAATTAAATGAAACTACTAAAATTGACACTATTCTTTTGAAGTTTATAGGAAAAACGAACTTCTCATACTTTTATAAGAAATCCTCTATAATTTAACAGGCTGTGCATTCTTGACAACATACATACTATTTTATCTTTTAAAAATCTGCACTGTATTTTTTGTGTTTGTGTACCGCTCATATTCACTCATTCTATTTTGATGAATATAATTTGTATTGATTTTTCAAAATTTTTCAGCTGATTAATGTGCCTGCAAGGAGGCGCAGGGGATGAGGTTTGATTCCCAGGCCTGCCGGGCCAGTCTCTTTTCTGGGGCGTGCTGAGAGGGCAAATGAGACTGGACGTGGCAGTGTGCCCCTGTAATCCCAGCTCTTGGGAGGCTGTAAACAGGCGGATCACTACAAATCTGATGTAGTAGTGAGACACTGACCACCCTGTAGACGCTTCTCTAAAAATAAAAAGTAAATAAAATTTATAACATTTTGAAAATATTACTAAATATAGGTAAAGTATTTGGCTTGAATAAAAACTATTTACATTTTCCTCAGAATGTTAAAAGCTTGGTGCTTTCATGTATTAAATTCTGTACTACAAGGCCCTCAATTCATTGTACATTTGACTTCCTCAATAAATTATTTTGGGGGTACAGACTGTTTTCTGTGAAGGAAGAGTTTAGAAAATTAATATTTTGGATGTGCAGACTGTTTTCTGTGAAGGGAGAGTTCAGATTCATGGCATTGATGTGGAGCTGGGTATAGATAGACCCAATCTGTAGGCTCAGTGTCAACAAAAATTTGATTGCCAGGGAAATAATGACAATGAAGTCAAACCATAGAGAGACTGCAGTACCTACCTGAACAAAGAACATAGCAATGTGATGGAATTCTCCTCGGCCCCCTTGCTTGACAGGAACAGTCATGAAGAACTTGCTGCCATCTCTAGAAAACACAGGCTCCTCATTCTGAAATATAGAAGCACCCAAGAGGATTTCAAAATGCAATGTGGAATTTGTTCTCTGTTACCTACAAAGTCAAGCATGGATTGTATAGACTTATTTGGCATTTTATTAGTACATATTTCCATTTCTTGTGTGGAGTTGGCACATGTACAAAACACATTTTAATTTCTTATGCCTGCCTTATCCTTCCCTTTCTTCTTTTGATCCCCTTCCCACACAAAGAGGATCTAATTCTCTAGTTGCTGTTGTCTGTCCTTTATTTTGTAATTTATTTTTTAACATATATGCTAAACTATGTAATATTTAAGCTTGTGATTCTGGCTTATTTCTCTTAATGTTACAATCTCAGAAGGCATACATATCCTACAAATGCCTGAAGATGAATTATTTTATGGCAATATACTACTCCACTGGGTAAACACATTTTCTTTATCTATTCATCTGCTGATGGACATATGGCTGTTTTGAAAGTTTAGCTGTTGTGAACTGTGCTCCTGTAAACATGAATATGCATGTATCACTGTAACATAAGGTCTTTAACTTGTTCCACATGATACTGCAAAGGAAACAGTTGGGTCACATGGAAATTTAACCTTAGATTGTTGGGGAATCTATATACTGATTCCAAAAGTGGTTATACTATTTAAAAATAAACGGCTGGGCAGATAGCTCAGTAGAGCAAGCGCTTGCCTGGCAAGCACAATGTCCTGAGTTCAATCCAGTACTGTAAATAAATAAATAAATAAATTATATGACATTCCTTATATTAAAAATTAAATTAATCCTCCATTGTATGTGAGTGGTTAGAAAACAAGGAAGTTTCTTTCACAGTGGATAGAAATGATTTCAAATTAGATTAAGCACATTTCAAATTAATTTATAATACAACTTTTCTATTCTTACATGAGGCTGTTTGACAACTTATCTGTTAAACATAAGAAAAATGCTTATATCTGTACTATCTTATCAAAATTTACATTTTCTAAAAATTACAAATTCCTAACATGTTAACATACTTTTCTGAAATGTTTTACTCAACATCATTAGTTACTTAAAGATACTTGTTTACTGGTTTTTTTTTTTTTTTTTTAGTCCTGGGAATCAGCCTCAGGACTGTGTGCTAGCCAGGTGGGCACTGTGCCCCTGAGCGTAGCCTTGGCTTGAAGATTTATTCCTGAGCATTGCAGAATTCACTGAAAACATAAATACTACAAAGCAATAAGATTAGAAGACAAAAAATTATTTTATCCAAGTTTCTCATTTTCATTGCTTAACTCTCCACAAATGCAAACAAAAATGCCTAATCAAACCAATCAACCCTTAATTGATGATATTTATACTGCAGTGCCATATTTAATAAACACAGTTATTATTGAGAATTAGATGATGGCAGCAGAACATTTTATTGATTCAGTTTAAGTATTATATTAAGAAAATGTATTTATCTGACAAAACATTGAATTATTTCCTGCCAGATTAATAAGTGTTTATATATATAGTACAAAGAAAGACTTTGACATGGTTTCTGCTATAGATCTTTAATATGATCTCACAGCCCTTGCAGGTGGACGTTTCCCATCTTTCTGATGCTCTTGTCTTTTCTATCACTGTCCCCTGATCTTCTGTACGCTTCTACTCCATGACCTTTGCATATTTTACTACTTTTAGCTGGCTCTCTTTCCTCTTTTTTTTTCCAATGTCGCTATACGAATGGGGCAATTCCGGACTACCTCATATAAAATATCTGAGAGAAGCCAGCTTGTCCAACTCTATTCCTGTCCTCCGTCTCATTTACGTTCTTTTTGTAATTTTTATAGCATATTAGACAATGTGGCATTTATTTTGTTTCTATGTGTACTTGTTTCTATGTATGTGTTTGCATATGAATACAAACACTATGTATGTATGTATTAAGGATGTATATATACATAGTGGATTATAACATGAGCTCCATGAGGCAGAAACCTCGCATTTTTTTACTGCTGTCTTTTCATTACTAGAAACCATAGAGATTCTGGTCACTACTGTAATCATTTTCTGAATAAACATGTCACTTAATGGCTATTTTTGTACCCAAGAGAGTCTAATATTAGTTTCAATAATGATACAAAATTAATATTTCTTTATTTTATGGGCATTCAAGAAATTATAAGAACAGATACATGATAAATTGAAAGGTATCAAATATTATACAATTCTAAATTGAGAAAATTTTCATAATTATGTACTTAATACATAGAGGAAAAATACTTGGATAGGTGAATTCCACTGATCAACTATGAAAGAGTGAATAATTATGTTTGTTCCGTCCCCTGCTTCTCTGGGATATCCCCGTTTTGCTTTCGCACATAGGAGTTCTCCATCAAGAACAAGTTTTCTATCTTCCTTTTGGTTCTAAATCTTACTCATTTTTTACTTAATCTTATGAGATTCAAATTATTTTCAAATCCCTATGTAGAATATTGAAGAAATTTCTCCTGACTCTAAAATGTATATTTGTCCACCTCCTTTTGTGGCTTTTAATGCGTTGTATTAACTTCGTGAGACACAGTGAGTAATACATAATTGCTGAGTAGAAAAATGCAAGTTTGGGGTTTGGGGAAATAGCACAGCAACAGAAGTCCCTCCCTGGCATTTGCAGTGTCTGAGGGAAAAAGGAGAAGAAAAAAGAATGCTAGTATGCAATACATGAAAATATTTAAGTATGAAACTATACCTACTACATTTCCCCCAATAATTGATTTCTCCTTCACTCACCATTCTCTGCTAATTCTTCACTCAAAGAAAAAAAATATTTTGTGCACATTTCCAAATATTCTACTCACACTGAACCTCTTTTTCAATTCTATTTCATTACAACTAGTTCAGAAACAAAAAATAGATTGAAACTGTTATTTCAATTGCCCTGCTGGATTTACAAATTTTCACTGGTATATAGGATCTGGCTGTAAATATTCAGCTCTATACCAACAGAGCCATCTTGGTTTATGACCATATTACTTTATGGATCAGTGTTTCTGACATATGTTGGTTTGAGCTTCAATACTGAACTTTGTCCCTTCACCACGTGTATTCTATGATCCTTATCCCAACTGTAAAGTCCCTTGGATGCTAGGCCAACTATATCATTTCTCTTGTCAGACCAGCTAGCTAGAAAGTGAGCCCGCAACTCTATCAAATTTCTTTTCTTTTTTTTTTTTTTTTTTTTTTTTTTTTTTTTTTTTTTTTTTTTTTGCGGGGGGGGGAAGAGTCTACAGGGTGTTCAGGGTCTGACTACTAGATTGGACTCATAGTGATCCACCTCTGTTCAGTCTCCCAACAGCTGGGATCACAGAAGCATGCCACCATGCCCACTCTCAATTGCCATCTCAGCATGCCCCGGGGCAGGGCCAGCACAGCAGGCCAGGGTATTTAACTCTGGCTCCTGCCCTTACTTTCAGGGGCTTTAACCTGCTGAGCTACTTGCCAGCCATTCTAATTTCTAATTATAAGGTATTTTAGATATTTGCTTATTTTCATTTTTGCTAATATCACCTAACTTTGAGTTTCAGATAATTTTAAGCATTGAATAAAATGGCCTTAGAACTTAGAGAAAAAGTGATAAAGTACCAACTTATTTTTTATTGAATAACTGATAAATGAATAATTTTCTTAAGTTCTTATTAAGCATTCATGAACCTAGAATTTTTGGATTTACATGTGGTAATATCAATTAAACTATTATAAATGTGTATGCCAGATTCAATTAAGAAAGGCAAATCAGAATACATCAATATTCAATATGTTATTTTCTTCTTTTTTAATATATACTTTATTTATTGCAGGGTGTACAGGTCTCAGTGCCCAGATCAGACTCAGTGATCCTCCTGTTTTCAGCCTCCCAAGTTCTGGGATTACAGGCATGTGCCACCATGCCCAGTCTTCATTATATTCTTGATTATTTAAATTTTCATTTTCAAAATGCAATGAGAGTCTATTATTAACTGCAAAATTAAGCTTTGATTCCAGTTTTAATTCTAACTTTGATGAAAATAAAATTTCTTCATTGATATAGAAGGGCAAAAAATATATAGAATACAGTTAAACATGTTTCTACTTATTTGTATGTTTAACCTTTAAGCAAGTAAATATTAGCCTTTATAGAATCCTGTTATTTATCTTTTACCCTCTCAATAAGTATAAGTAGAGTTCTTCTTACATAATGGATTCCATATTACACATTTCATTTACAGTGGAAGACAAAAAATAGACGTTGTTTTTCTAATATTAGTACAGAATTCACAGAAATAGTTGTACAAGCATTACATGAATGTTACATTTGAATTTAAGTTTTATTGGGAGACCTGATATGGTGAGGATAATTGGAGAAGGCGATTGGGGAGATAGCACAAAATGTTGGCGATGAACTATATATACAGATATGTATTAATAAATGTTCTAGATGAAAACAAGGTTAAAATTTCAGTAATTAGGTAGATAATACTTGTTGTGTTGTTGAATCCTGCGATTAAAAAATATAGAAATACTCAAAAAATCAAAATTAGAAATTCCATTTGACCCAGGTATACCCCTTTTAGTAATCTCCTTTAAAGAGTTAACAGCATCATGTTACAGTGAAGCATGCAGACCGAATAAACATCACATAAGCAGTTTTCTGCAAGAACTGCATTCACAAGGCAGGTCACATGGAAGGCCTGTTGCGTGGCCAGAACGGAGAAAATGGCTGCAGAGTGGTGTGAACATTTTCCTGTAATGTGTTCCTCATCAGAGGGTCAGAAGGAAGGGAGTTTAGTTGAGCTGAGGCAATGGGAATAGAAAGGCGATACTGGGATAAACAATTAAATAAATAACCTTAAAAAAGTCACTCAGCCAGCCTGGATTAGGACCCAATGGGCAGGTGTCTAAGAGCTAGGCTGCTTGCCAGTTAAGAAGGGACAACCATTCCTGATGTCTGAGCATGAACAGTGTTTGTGAGTTACATGAAATTTTATTAACTTGGTGGAATTATAAAAGCCAAATTCAAAATGTTGGTGATGATTTATATATACAGATATGTTTTGAAAAATGTTCTAGGTGAGCACAAGGTTAAAATTTCAGTAATTAGGTAAATAATATTTGTTGTGTTGTTGAATCCTGTGATTAAAAAATATAGAAATTTCCCAAAAAATGAAAATTAGAGATTCCATTTGACCCACCTATACATCTTTTAGGAATCTTCTTAACAAGAGTCAACAGCATCATGTTACAGTGAGGCATGCAAACCCATACATATACCAGCACAATTCACAATAGTTAAATCTTGGAAACAGCCTATGTGTACATGAACGAATGAAGAAAATCTGATATTCTATACAGTGGAATGCTATTCTGCATTAAGGAAAGTTAAACTTGATTTACCTGTAGAAAGTGGATGCATCTTGAGATCATAGTGTTCAGTGAAGTGACTCAGACAGAGAAGCTTAAATACTTGGTCATATTAATTATTTTAAATAAAAACTTTACATGCACATGACATGAGACAGGATAGGTATTAAGGGAAAGAAGGAAAAAATGTATTGTAATCAAGCATGGATAATGTATGTAACAGTCTACCTTGACTTAGAACCAAAGTCTTATGTATTTTCTATGTTCTTCAGCCTATTACTCTGGTATTTAATCTGCATATATGATAATTTTATAAGGAATTAAAATGATTTTTATATGGAAAAATAAAAGAGGTAGAGATAAGGGGAAAATAAGATTTCAAACATGTTATGTACATATAACAATTCCCTTCGGTGAAGGTAATCATTATATACTGTAGACATGCACTAATAAAAGTAAAAAAGACTAAGCCCCCCCCCCCACACACACACACAAGGAATGAAACAGACAAGCAGAAGTGCGGAATGGGTAGTTATGTTGGCCGCTTTAGGAGATGCCAAGTGTGGATTTGGATGCTTCAGAACTCACTGAATTGGCTTGGGCTATAAATGTGGAGGTTTCAATATTTGAGAGCTATGTGAAACCACAGTTGTGTGTGGCACCCAGGAAGATAGTATAAATACAAGGTGACATAGAAAAGCATAAATCAATGACCCAAGCAAGCAAATCATAACTCAATCCACAAAAAAATGCAATGAGAGAGTTCACAGAGAAATGGCTGCTGTTACACAGGGGAAACCTGTTGTGTTTCTTCATGAGTTGTGGGTCTGACTTATGTTGTGGAGAGTTTCTGTTTTTATTTTATTTTATAAATCTTACTACAAGCTTATTTATATCACAATATCATTAAAAGATAAGGTACTTCTAAGGAAAACATGATTCTTCTGGAATCTTCAATAGGCCAATTTATGCAGAAGCTTGGACAATATGGGAGGCAATCTGAATAATGGAGGTTGTTTTGAGCTCTAAAAATGGATTGCAACTCTTTCTCCTCTATCTAAACAAATGTTTACTTATATGAGTGGGCAGAAAATTGATTCTTAATTCTGCAATATATCCTATAAAAATAATGAAACCTATTTTCAAGTGATGGATTAAAGTGCCCAGTCATTATATTTTTAATAGAAATGAGTCACTTTGTCAAACATACCAAAAACTTTAAGTCAAGTGAGTGAAATAATATTTAGAAAAAATAATTACATACTAAAATGTGTGAATGGACGGGTTACAAGGTGCATAGAATCTCCTATGCAATACCTGTTTAGAAAGCCAGGTGTCTGATGTCATCTCATATTTCTGAAATAAAAAAAAAAGTTCAGTTATGCATATGTTAATTTAATGTTTTACATTGCCATCTTCAGACAGTCTCTTCTTTTATTCAACTACAGAAACATCATGAAATATCACATAGACATTACTGATTTAAAGTAAATGAAAAGAAGAGAACTTAAAGAATACTTTTATTTTAGTGGGTTTCTTTTCTTTCTTTTTTAATATATTTGGTACAGGGCCTCACTATGCAGCTCAGCTCAGACTTCCGATGATCCTCCTGTTTTCAGCCTCCCCAGCACTGGGATTATAAATATGTGCCCTCATGTCTAGTCTTTCTGGCCAACTCAGTGCACCCAGGGGCAGGGCGCATGGGCATGTGGTGCTGGGGATAGAATCCTGGTTCCTGGTCTTGCCCACTCAGGTTTCACTGGCTCATTTATGTGTGTGTGTGTGTGTGTGTGTGTGTGTGTGTGTGTGTGTGTGTGTAAGCACACGTGTGCATGCGTGCATGTGTGTGTGTGTGTGTGTGTGTGTCTTTGTACAGGAACTCCCTTGGAATTTCTACCTATCCAAAGATAGATCATGAAGGATAGATCATTTTCCAGTCTGCAGGATTACCTCATTAAAACCACCAGACACTGTCTCTTTTCACCTCTGGGAATCATGAGGAAACAAAACTATTAAGCCTTCAAATGGAACTAGGCCAAAAGCCAGCCATCAAATTTTGATCTGGTCTTTGTCATATCTATTTTTTCATATTTGTAGTACTTAGTTTTAAGAAAAAAGTCAAACATGTGGAGTATCAAAATTATATATTCCTTTAATATATACTCATAAATGCTTAAAATCAAACTCCAGAAGCAAAATTTGCCTTCAATCTCAAGTTAAATGTATATATAAGATATTTTATGATAATGAATCTGTGTACTATAAATGATATATCTTTTGAAAGAAATGATTCAATAATAAACATACTGAAGTTAAAAAAACTGTTAGGGATTTCATATTAGAGATCATATATTTGACATGTTAGGGATTTTACTATACACTCATTTCAAACTGTGCAGTTATAATTTATGTACAATTTTTCTAAATATATACTACTATTTCTTTATAATTGGCCACTTTCTGTTTTCTGGGTATTAGTTTTTCAACAGTTTTTCACTATTTGTAGACACCAGGAAAATATCTAATGAAATGTTGCATTGATTATTTGTACCAACCTCAGCAGTAAATATTGTTACTAGTTATAAAAGCGACATAATAAAATAGACAATGATGTCACCAATACTTGCTGCCACCAAATTTTCTTAGAATTCTTTAGAGCTGAAAAATTCATCCACTATTATTTGTCTTGTTACTTTAATTATTTGAAAATAAAACACTTAAACTCCACACATACCATAGAATTATGACATATTGTCAGGAAAATGTCAAATGAATAATGTGGTAAGGCTTGTATATCTATTTTCTTATTGTACAATTTTATTTATCTTTGTGTTTTCCTATAGTAGAAACATTTAGATTCCGTTGGTATAGTGAAAGTAACAGACTTTCTCTGATTAACTAGATTACAGGCAGACTAATTTTTAAAATGAAAATCAGTTGAATATGAAACTATCTAGAACACTATGAAATGGATAGAGAAATCCTAGCTAATCTATAATATAATGAGATAAAGGAGGATAACTGAGATAAATTTTCTATTAATGTGAGCCTAATGTGACAAGCATGAGGCAAACCCAAAGAGTAAATGGATGAACCAACTCTTTCATTTCCACATGTATTCTAATCACCCCATCCACAGAGAAATATCTGTGCATATGTTTCTATTTTTTATGGACTATTTAGAAAGTGTGCTTTACAGGTTTCCATGTGTAGTAAAATCACAGGTCTTAAATATATAGTGTGAAAAGTTTTGATTAGTATATTTACATCCTGTCAACATGCTACCCTTTTTTTACATTCCTGCAAACCATTCCAGGACCCTTCCCAGAGATTCCAAGAAGATAAATTTCTGATTTTTCCCCAATATCAATTTTTCCTATGTTAAAAATCAAAGAAAGTTAAAATCACGCATTATATGTAGTGCATTATATAATCCAGGATTTGAGGTTTTCTGCATATTACATATTTAAGTCCACTATCATTAAAAGTACCAACATTGTGCCAGGCAGATAGCTCAGCAGCGTAAGCACCTGCCTGGCAAGCACAAGGTCCTGAGTTCAATCCCTGGTACCAAAAAAGAAAAAAAAAGATAAGAAAAAAGGTATCATCATTATATTACTGTTCCATTTTAGTTTACTGAGTTGAATTTCATTGTATTGTTATACTTCTATTCTTTTTGTGTATTTGGTACAGGGTCTCACTACACAGCTCAGACTCCAAGTGATCCTCCTGTGTCCAGCCTCCCCAGCACTGGAACTATAGGCGTGCACAACATACGGACATGGTCACCGGCTCAGCAAGGGGCTGGCTCAGAGTGTGGCATAGAATCTCAGTCCCTGCGCTTGCCTCAGCAGTACTCAGTCCTCTCTTGCCAGATCTACCGTTTCAATTTAGTCTCGCTCTCACTCTAGCTCTCGCTCTTTTTGGTAGTACTCAGGATTGAACTCATACCCTTTGGAATGCTAGCTAAATTGGCTATCGCGGAGATATATTTTTAGACCTCATTATGAGTTTAATCTACATTTTCTTAAAGTCTAATGAGGTTGAATTCTTTATTATGTGTTTATTATCTTACACTTCTCTATTCACGTGAGTTTATGTTTTCATTGGGTTGTCATAAACACTGAGATGTAGGATTTCCACATTTTGTTGTCAAACACATATCTAGCAAAATACTTTTCCCTGTTATACAGTTTATCTATTTCTTACATGGTATTTGTGACAATGATTCTAATTTTTATGGTGCCACATGCATTTCTTAAGGTTTAGTGCTGTTTTTTGCCCAGGCTTCGTGTACAGGAAAGTTATACTCTGAACATCCCTCTACAAGTCTGAGTCTGTGCTTAAGATTTAGGGATGTGGTTTTTCTCAAATTTGCTTTAGAGTATGATATGAAATAGATGTCATGAATCATTCTTTTTACCCATTTGGATGTCAATTGTTCAGGAACACTTTTCCCCCATTCAATAGATATGAGATCGATGTTGAAGTCAACTGATCATAAAAATGTAGATCTTTGTTGCTGCAGACTATTTGATTCAGTTTACTAGTTGCATAATGTGGTTCTTTCCTTAGCACCACAAGGCTTCTGTGGCTCTTTAGCACTGTATTCTTGAAATTAGGCAGTATAAGGTTTCTAATATTTGTTTCTTTATAAAGTGATTTTGGTTGTTTGGGGTCTTGTTCATTTTCACATCAATTTTAAAATATGCTTATGTCTATGCAGGTTTCAAGAGCGTGAGAAATTGTGGCACTGTCTTCTCCAATGAAAGATGGTCCCATCCTTCACACTGAAATTGCTATGTGAAAGACAGTCTATCACTAGCTGAATACTTTCTGCTCCCCTCTGCCTCTGCACTCCACTCCTCCTGCCCCTCATAATCCTTCAGATTCTCCTCTCTACTGCTTAACTTGACCAACTGCAAATGATGGTCAGTCTGAATTTAGTCAATGAATTTCAAGGATAGCTGCTTCCCATGCATTAGGGTTTAGAAACACTTCTTCCCTGTACTCCATGTGCCTGTTGCCTCTCCTCACCTCTGCAGGCACTGGCACCCCTCTGCAGAAGTAAACTTTTAACTTTGTTTTGTTGAGACCTTTTGCTTGGTGTCTGAATGCATTCTTTCCAGCTTGACAATATGTGTCTGTGGGATCTCGCCCAACTGTAGGATTATTTCAAAATGACAACACAATTTGGATAGAATTTATATTGTAGTAACAAGCTTTTCCAATTCAAGAATACTGAATTTATTAGTCTTCATTTATTTAAGCCTTTTGTTGCTTTTTTTAAAAACCAGGAATCAAACATAAGACTTTGTACTTGACAGGCAGGCACTGTGTCCCTGAGTTATATCCCTGGCCTTACTTAGGTCTTTCTCAATGCCTTTAGAAATCCTGTCATATTCAATCTTGAGATTTTATACAACATTTGTTAAGTTTAGGCTTATGTGGTGATTTTTTTTTCTTTATTTTTTGCAGAACTAAGGATTGAACTCAGGCCCTTGCACTTGCCAGCAAGCGCTTGTTCTATTGAGCTATCTCCCCGGCCCCCAAGTTAAGGCTTATGTATTTAATGCTTTAAATATTTAAGTGTATTTAAGCTTTTTTCTCTACAGCATTATTATAGATAAATTTTGACTTTTTCAATATTTATTTATTTATTTTTATTTATTACATTTATTTATTGTGTGTGTATGTGGCCAGCTTAGCCCACCAGGGGGCGGGGCTGGCTGGCATGTGGTGCTGGGGATCGAACCACGGTCCCTGTGCTTTGCCAAGCTTGTTTCAAGTAGGTGCTTTAGACCACTGAGCCATCTCTCCAGCCCCAATAAATTTTGACTTTTAAGAGTTTTTTTTTGAGGGCTGGAGAGATGGCTCAGTGGTCTAAGGCACCTACTTAGAACAAGCTTGGCAAAGCATCAGGGACCGCGGTTCAATCCCCCAGCACCACATGCCAGCCAGCCCTGCCCCCTGGTGGGCTGAGCTGGCCACACACACACACCACACTCTCTCTCTCTCTCTCTCTCTCTCTCTCTCTCTCTCTCTCAAATAAATAAAAAAAAATAAAAAAATAAAAATAAAAAAGAGTTTTTTTTGAAACAAGTATAAACTTATCTAGAAAAATGTTAAGATAGTTTAATGAAATCCTGTACACCGTCTAGACATATTATGCATGTATGCTTTACCCCCTTCTATATTATTGCACTTTCTCCTATTTCTGAATCATATAAGATAGTAGTAGCATACTTTTCAATACCAGTCAATTGGAAATTAGACCTGCATTCTTTACTACACAGCTTGACTGCCAGTTGGAGTCACTGTATGCTGAAACCCCAATTCTTTAGCAAGCATTTCAAATTTAAATTGTTAACACAATAAAATTATCAAAGTTGAGAAATTAAATACAAAGGTGAAGTTAGTACATTGCCCTTACAAATGACAATCTTTTATTCTGTTTTAATTGTAATTTTTTAGCCTTTCCTTACACAAAAGCTATCATCTACAACTAAAGATATTTTCACTTCCTTTCAAACATTAGGATATTTGTTCTTTACTAACTTACTCGGATTAGGGCCTTGCTTTTTCATTATAGTAGAAAGAATGGATCCCTTCTCTTTCTGTGGATTTTAATAGGAATGAGATGAATGTTTCCCTACTGAGTGTGGGACTGGTTCTTGGATTTCCTTTGTTAGAATGAAGGTATAGCTTTGGCATCCATATTCGCTTATTCTTATAACAGTACCTGAAAATATTATTTCTTTTCTACTTTCTAGAACATGTAAGAATGAGTTTCTTATTTATTTATTTATTTATTTATTTATTTATTTATTTATTTTGGCAGAACCAGGGATTGAACTCAGGCCCTTGCCCTTGCCAGGGAAGCGCTTATTCTACTGAGTAATCTCCCCATCCCCTGGGTATCTTTGTTCTTTACAATAATGCTGTTGCTATCATAGTTGTAATCTCCTAGAATTATCTTAATATTTAAAAACCAATGTAGAGCTGGGGAGATAGCTCAGTAGAATAAGCTCTTGCCTGGTGAGCTCAAGCTCCTGAGTTCAATGCTAGGTACCGAAAGAATAAAATTAAAAAAATAAAAAGTAAAAACCAATGGAATAGCACCAAGAGGTAAAACCTTTAGGACATAATTAAGCTGTGAAGCCCTCACTTTCCAAACAGATTACTATCTTTCCTGTAGGAGTATGTTAATAAAAGAAAATGGGTTTAATTCCCTTTTATCTTCCTTGTCCCTTCCTTTGTCTTTTTGCTAAGGGACAGAATAGCAAGTTAGTGCTCCCTAAAATGTGGCCCTCTACATCCCTATCCATTACAAATAAAGCAGTCTGTGATATTCTGTTACAGTAACACAAAGCAGATCCAGAAAGGAATCAGTATTCGATGAAAGGTCTGATCTTGGCAGACAGATTATAAGCATGTACTAAGTTCCTTTAATTGGGGATTAGGGGTAAAGCTCCACCAGGGAGGTCTCACAGAGCAAAAGCAAGACCCTAGATTAATCTGCAGCTCCACTAATAAAAAAAAAAAAACACAAAGAATAAAATCACTTAGGTGTAAAATTCTTCAAATAAGGTTATTCTTTATAAATCCACTCCAGTAATTTTGCATCTTTTTTTTTCTCCTGTTTTTTAGGATCTGGGATTCAGGACCTTGCAGGAGCTAAGGAAGTGCTCCACCACTGAGCTCTGCAACTTTCAAGTCACTACTGTTGTGTTAATATTTGATTTGTAACAACTTGAATATCAAATATTTAGGTACTTTTGGAGGGTATGCTATTTTGACTTTGTGGGCTTCCTGGATATGTAAATTGATGTTTTCACCTAACTTTGGAAACCTAAAATAATAATTATTTTTTGATCTCTGTAAAAAATTTGGCATGTATTTCCAGGTATATTGTAATATGTAATTGAAGCGTTATTCATTTTTATATTTTTTATCCAGGACTTCAGTTTTGATTGTTTTTTTTTTTTTGCTTTGTTTTGTTTTCTTTAACACAAAAATGTCTCACATACTCTTAAGCCCATCATATCTCAGACACTATATCTTAATTCCTGAAGTACTATTTCTGCTTTAAATACTTATTTACTAAAATTTCTTATCCATTTAGTTATTAAGTTTTGCTATTCATTTAGATATCTAGTTTAAGACCATTTTTTGACTTGTTAATTATCTTAATAGCTTTTCCAAAATTGTATATCTATTAGTTTCAAATTGTTATCTTGGGAGGTCTCCTCAAAAGGACAACTTTGAGAGTAGCAAATGCGTTGTACTTCCTCTCTACATATAAGCTATATTTTCGTTGTGCAATTGGTATATATGCCACATGATTAAGTGCAATCAATTTTCTTTAAAAAGTGAACTGTTCCAGTAGGAAGTTAATTTGCAAGGATATGAACTTGATACCTTTGAAGTATCATCAGAAATCCTTCATGAAAATGTTCTTCCTAACCCAGTTTCTCTTCTTAATTGAATGCTCAAGTGTTTCAAGTGAGAGATGTCTCTACTTTTGCTGTGTAGAGTTCCAATATTTGCAAGCACTGTGCAGCCGTGTTTATTCTTTGTTCTCTGCCAGACCATATAAGGTGTGCTGTACACATCTGCAGTTAAGTACGGGCTAAATTCTAGGCCCCACAGGTAAGAGTAGTTGTTTTCTGCATGACTTCAACTTTTGTAATTCCTGTTTTATATACGCCATCATTAGAAGTGTCTCGAGTTTTACTTCTGCTATTCACTGCTTAAAATAAGGGAGAACATTGTGCCGTGTCTGGTGCATCTCTGTGACCTGACATTCAAAAGAATTGTTAGTAGAAGGTTTGGGCTGTACTCAAATGCTACAGCACCTGCCTAGAACTGCCTGTTCTGCTGACTGTCCAATATCTAAAAATAGGTTTTCTTCAAACAGTTGTTTCGTACAAGTTTTTAGTGTTATAGTTGTCCAACATAAAAAGGTGAACTGGTAGTATTTTTGTATCTTTTCTGGAGCAGAAGTTTGGAAATTTAGTTTATAAATAATACGGGAATATTTTATTCACCAACAATGAAATATGATAGTTTAAAATAATTAACCCTATTTTCTCCACCAACGATCTTAAAAATGCTAAATACTGAAACTATTATACAGTTAATAAAATCTAAATTTAGAAAATGAAGTCTATTATTATTTAATCAAAAAGACAGAAACAATGATAAGAGTAATCTAAACTACAGAAAACGTGTATATTTAAAGAACAGAGGCCAGATGCTCCTGATACTCACAAGTTAATCAAGTGACTTCTCATATTGAAAATAAACACTACTGTGGCTGAAACCACCATTTCTGCTGCATGCAAATTTATAATTTGTTCCTTCTCGCTTCCTAGTTTGGAAGCATTACTTATTAAAGAATATACTTCTAACATGATGAATCTTTTCATACTACCTTTTGAAGTTAAATATTAAAGTTTTTATGCAAAAGATTTGCTGAGTTTCCTTTGTAAAAGAATATGCTACATTGTAGGCCGGGGAGATGGCTCAGTGGAATAAGCACTTTCCTGGAAAGTGCAAGGGCCTGAGTTCAATCCCTGGTTCCAAAAAAAAAAAGCTACATTGTATTATACATAGCAGAAAAGTAAATGATACTCACTCTACTGCAAGCTCCAGTTGTGGTCTCACACACGGTGAGGATGGAGATGTTCTGGGGCCGGTTTAACCATCTCACCACGGTCTTGGTGTTGCTTACCCACTTAACCATTGTTATATAATATTCTCTAGTTTGAAAAAAAGGTGAAAATTTAACTTCAGAGACAGAAAAACTAAAAATTCTCAATAATAAATGCGTTATTTTATAAGCAAGCATATGTAAAACATTCTAAAGATTTTATACCATAACAACTTCTATTTGTATAGATACACACAGATATATATATATATATATATATATATATATATATATACATCTTTGCTGTATTCATATATGTAAATGCAAATAAATGTTTATGATGAATACCTATATAAATATACAGAAAATCGGAGCAAGAATCATTTGCCAAAATATTCTTGGAAAAATAAAATAATGGGATTATTAGCATTTATTAAAAAGGATTGTTGATTAGCACTGATGCATGCTCAAAACAGGTATAAACTTTTGCTCTATGCTATATTTTTATTTCTATATTAGCATAATCAGTAGCTACTTAAAGGGCAAACTTTAGCCTTATCTTAGCAGTTATTTGTTTGGCAAGACCTTCATGTTCCTCTATTTCATACCTCAGAACTTGGTCAGCTAAGGTAAAAAATGTTAATTTGGTCTTTGTCCATTGCAGACCAAATGTCAGGTCCCATCTGTTATTCACTATGTATATTTCCCCTAATATTGCTTGTTATATTACTTGAACAAATTTCAAAAAAAGTAGAACTCATTTAAAAAGTTAAGTAGTTTTCAAATTTTCACTGTAGTAAAGATGCTAACTGAAGTGGCCTCAAATGTCCCAAAGTTGGTTAGAAATTGGGAAATATTTTCATAGTTTCCATTATGACATTTATAAGTGTCTATGTTTGGAAACTGACATAATATGATCACAAAGTTCCTAACACATGCAGACACTAAAGCATGGCAATATATATTCTGAATCACAGGAATAAATGTTGAAATTATATCTAGACATTAACACAAATATTATAAACACTAATCAAAGACTGTAAAGTCAACAAGTCTGTATTTTTGAGGAAAAACTGAAATAGGATGGATGTGCAGTTAAATTCCAAACCCAGTGAGAATTTTCTCAATTTTACAAAAAGAAATCAATGAATATTTTTAAATACGAACAACTAATACAAATGAGTTCAAAAATAAAGAAGACAACAAAACAGAATTTAAATATTCTACCTGAGCACTTTCTCTTTTAAAATATTCCTAAAGTAAAATGTTGCTAGCGAATCTTTGCAATACTTTCATAGGCACTGACATGTTTCCTCTACTATCTACAATATTGGCTTTCAAAACATATTGATGTTACAAAACACTGAAAGCCAACAAACACAAATCTGGTGAATAACTGATATTTTATGTTGACTTATAGAACTGTCAAATAAAGAAATGTCCATTTCTAACTATGCATCTCTGTTGCTTTGTGATTAAATGTTGTGATTATTTGTGTTTATAATAATTTGCTTCAAATTAATAATAAAAATATAATTTGATGTTAGATAGATTAATATGCACCTTGCTTATCTCCAAGGATGACCTTGCACGTGCAAACCACAACCTGAGAAATGAGCTTTCTTTCCAGATTTGAATTTGTAAGTTTTTGCAAGGGGTTATTTCTAAGCAAGGACATTTCTGTGGTTTACTATCTGAAGCAACCAGAATGGAAGCTGAAGCAGTCCTTCACAAGTAGGTAGAGTAGAAAGATATATATCTAATGAAATCATTCCCTGTCGTTCTTTGTTCCCTGCTACAGACCTAATAATGCCCTTACTGGAAATGTCACACTCTGGCCTGTGTGATGCCAATGTGGCTATCTTCCAAAAACTCCATTTCAGGGACACATGAGACTGAGGTTGCACAGCCACTGGCTAGCAGAAGTGTCCCTTTCTTATAACTGGATTTACTGCTTATTCCTATTTTTATTGGTTCTAATCTAACCAGGAAGTCCAGAGGTCTAGTATTCTTAAGCCACAGAGACAGAGGCAAGCATACTAAAGGGATTTTATTCAAGTTTACAGACTTCCTATAAGCAGGTCTAATTATTCACAAGGGTAGATAAAATGAAGCCCTCGACTTCTTCTGTAGACATACCGGCATGTATAGTAGCAGTCAATCCTGTGTTTTCATTAGCTCCCTATTTATTACTGCTCTGTGTACTCCAAATTTTTTGTACACATGTAGCTACTCTGAAGTCATTTTAAGACAACCGAGGAACATAGTGCAGAAGTACACTGAAAGGCCTTCATGACTAACTCATAGCTGGGATCTTCAAGAACCCCTGCTAATAATTATTTAAAGAAAGATCATTTAGGATAATCTCAGAAGCACCAATGAATCTATTAATTGGAATTTCATGAAGGGCACAGATATTCCTTGCAGGCATAAAAGATGTAGGCTAGATCCACTTTCAGGAAATATGAAGAGAAAATGTCATTATCAAGCTCAGAAGAACAGGAGCAATATGAAAGTGTCATATGAATGATACAGGTGGAGAACAATGGGTCACAAAATGTGAGTGATTAGAGAAGATGTAAAATATGCAAAATAATGCTAGTGATACAATAAGACTAAAACAAGGACAAATCATAATGTTTGCTCTTCAGATTGAGGAGATCTGAACACAAGGGAGAATACATCACTTCCCCCAAAGTATGTCACACTACTGTACCATAAGGTGAAGTTTTGCATAACCCCTGCCATAATAATAAATCTTTTTGATAGCAATTAAATATATATGTTAACTGCATTCCTGAATTTTATAATAAATTCATTGAGTAATTTCACATGTAAAGCTCACAGTGTAATAATTTGTAAAGGGTTTCTTCTCTTTCTCTCAAGATAACTGTCTTATGTAACTCTCCCAGCTTCTGAGTCTGGGAATATTTAAGAAGGCCATTAACTTTGGTGTCACCACACTACATTCTTTTGAGAAACAACACAGACCATGACTCAAAGAAAGATGAACTAGATGGTGATGAGTATGAACTGAACTACTACTGAAAAGGTTGTATTCATAATCTAATTTTGCATGATGAAGTATCTTTTTGCTGAATCATGCATATATTGATAATTATTATTACATAAAATGAAGGGGCAACATGAAAGTATAAAAACAGATTATGAGTTTTCCCTAGGTTATATCATCCTTGTAGTTTCTTTTCCAAGATCAATGAATTAACATCCATGTCCTTTACAGCCTTTGAATAGAGCAGAAGTATCATTTGGATGCCCACCAAATGATGCTAACTATAGGTCTTTCCCCCTTATAATTATATACACTAGTTATTATAATTAAACCAAGTCTCAAAATAAATAAACACACATAATAAAATATTAAACTAAAATTATAAATTGAAAACAAATTTTCTTCTCTGCGGTATATTTTAGGGGAATATAGTTTATAAGACAGCTCAAGCTATAAAAGAACATCTTTCTGCATTCATATGATTCTTTCTCTCTATACAGACATAACCATGTATTGCCAATTATTTTCTGTCACTTTCTGGTTTATTAGTGAAGACAGAAAGAGCCTATTTGACTGCACAAACTTGAATTTCAAGGGTGGTGGGAAAAGTGAATTGAAAATGATGGTTCATAACTGCACAGAGTAATGGAATAGAGTTCACCTAGTGATTGCACAGATAATATGAAGATTATAAAAATCTAATAGCTATTCAGTAATACAAAATACATTTAAATTATTTAATTAATTATTTTATTACTTAATGATTATACAATATCTCAGTTTATACAGGGATCTCTGTGATGAATACATGCAAATTAAAGAACAGAAAGGCTTTCAATAGATTTGATAGGATGTTAAGAAAGTGTATTACTAGTAAATTGAAACATATATAATTATATATATATTCATACAAATAGGTCACAAAATGAAAGCCTCTTATCTCCAATTAGAGAAAAACATAGAAATGATCCACATTGAAAGATATAAAACTAAAGGCCAAAACCTAAAACCCAATAAATCAAAACTAGGGAATTCTGATACTGAGAGAGGTGCTGCAACTTGCCCATGGTAATGCAGTGAAAAGCTGGTGGACAAGTGACCCAACCAGAGCATTAACCAGGCAGAATGAGGGGAAGTTCAGAAAGACCGAGAGGATGTGTGCTTCTCACAGGACCTCAAGAAACTGCATGGCTCTTGAGGGCTGTACAAAAACCAGTCAGAAAGCAATGTGTTTCATCCTTCATTTGAATTTCTCACTACTTGTAGAACCATCAGAAAAGTGATATTTTTGAATTATTTATTCATTTATTTGCTGGTTGAAAGCTAAGCAAGTCTTTTGATAGGGCAGCTTAAATCTGATGACAGACCAAAGGAGTTCTTGAAAGGACATTGGTCCAAATGCCTTGTTTTGTGAGAGAGAAGCCAATCTAGGAATCTGGGACACAAAAGACCCCTTTCCTTGATCACTGTGGCCCAAGTGAGGCTGTTCATTAGCTTACTGGCACCTTGTGTAGCATACCTCTTTTGTGCCTTCAATAATTGTGCATTCTTATTGCTTTCTCTTTAAGTTTGTCCAGTTCTTTGTTCAGGACACCATGAACCTGGAAAGAATTCCCATCGGACCTACAATTAGGTAACACTGGAGAGGGGAGCTTTCAGAGTTAAAAAGTAAAAACTCCCTAGAATTTTATTACCATTCTAAGCAGATCATTTCCATGCTCAACCGAATGCATTAGAGCTGTAAAAATCCCCAACTGGGACAGAATTCTTCCTAACTATGTCAATATTTGAGAGAAATTTCTAGTAGAAATTGATTGCAGAATCATTAAAATGAACTTTGAGTTTGGCATAGTTGTGTGTTTCCAAACTTCTCCAGGACTGTGGTAAATTTGAGAGGGCTGAAAAATTTGAAGGAAATCACCTTTGAAGGTTGAGAACAGTCAGGGTATCAAAATATGATTACTTGTTTATTTGGCACTACTGAAGATTTTGCTAATATTAAATTTATGTTTCTGACACATAAAAACGTGTTTCTTTATCTCTGTCCAAACTTCTTTCATAGGAAGGCTTCTGATGTAGGCTAATATGAAACGAAGTCTCATTAAATTTGCCTTTCTGGAGAAGTATGCTAGAGAACCTTCGTTGGCAAGCTCGGTAGAAAGCTGGAGAGCTGCACAAGTTTCAGGGAGATTATACTATTTTAAAGTGCGTCGTAAAAAAAATTAAAAATGGAGCAGCATTTTCAGGAAGAAACTCCAATGGAAAATTTTCCCTTGTCCTCATCTGTCACACATCCCCAGCGAAAGACCAAACACTCAGTCAGTTTCCATAGTCATTTCGGGCACTGCTAATCACCTTGAAATGAAATGTTGCTTAGGAACAGCCAGACACCAGAATGACTTCATTCCTCACTAATGGAGGCAACCTCAGTTTTATTTTCAAGTAGAATTGTTGAGCTATTCACATCTCTCCCTAAATTGTAATGAAATGATAATTGGATGGAAAATACCTATTTCTATGTAAAAGTGAAATTGAAATTGCATACCTTGATTTAAAGCTGTCAGGTGGCATAAGTTCCAAAGTGTGAGTTGGTCCATATAGGTTTACAACATATAATTTTATTGTTGGGTTCACTTGACCTGCCTTTGAGAAAATGAAAGTTGTAAAGCAAGTGCATTAAGCATTAGACTATATTGTGGGGGAAAAGAAAGAAGAGTCATTTTTACTCTTATTTTTTTGTCTTCCAGAGGGGAAAAGTTTAATTTCTGTGAAGTCAAAATGATTTTAAACTCAACAACTTGATTGCTTTCAATTGTTTTGGTAGATTGCTGCTTCTTCAGCAGTTTAGTCAGGCAATTAAAGAAAATCATGATGGCTTTATTCATTAAGCAGTGCTCCTATGCTCTTCACTGAGGATGGCACGGAAGGGCTGGCTGTGCTGCTAAACTGACAGATCAAGCAACTACTACTACTTTATGAACACCATAGGAAGGTTTGATGAATTATTAAAAAAAAAGGAAGGGCATGAGGGAGAGAGAAGGAAGGACATCCCATGCACTTCTAGGACTGTAGAAATTCTATTCACATGTAGACTGCCAGATGCTTAAAATTCCACAAAACCTGGTGTATTACATTCACCAAATCTACCTGGGTTTTCTTTTCAATGTTACTGATTCCTAAAGTGGGGTGAATTGTTTGTTTAATTGATCCCAGATCAATACACAAACTCTCCTCCTTGATACCTGGCAGGAAGACTGGACAACCAGAGCAATGCTAAGTAATTTGATTTTACCAAGTCAAATTTTATTAAATAAAAAGTATCTAGTAAGTATAGCATAAGGTATGTTTCTGGCACATCGAATGTGTGAAAGTTACATGAATTTTCATTCAAAATATCCTTTCTGTGAGTGTCAGCTAAAAACACTTTAAAGATGAAAATGGAAAAGTTAAAAAATGGGGCAAGGTACAATTCTAATAACTCAAGAATCTGCATTTTAATCCAGGAGGTTTTTAATTGTGTTATTTGTTCATTTCTTTGAAGACAATGTCCTCCAAAGGTTTTCTAAATATACTCTGGGAAATAAAAGGATGGGAATGGGGATTTTCTTCAACATGTCTCAAGCAGTTTGAATGGACAAAGGCATGAAGGACAGAAGAGGGGGAGGCAGGGAGGGAGAGAGAAAGGAAAGAAATGATGGAGGGAGGGAGGAAGAAAAGAAAGGAGGAAGGGAGGGAGGAAAGCAGGAATGGCAGGAGGAAGAAAGGAAAGAGTTACAGAATATTTGCCTGAATAAGTGAGTTTCCAATCAATTGATTACTTATGGTTTGATGAGTTTCTGAACAAAACATTGCTATCCTATTGGTAAGACTGAGCAGTTAAGCAAAGACTACATTAAATATGAAGAAGAGAAGAGGAAATTGAAAGTTAAGTTAAAGGGTCCCCTGGAGATGGCTCAGTGGAATAAGTGCTCTCCTGACTGAGTTCAATCCCTGGTTCTGGGGGGAAAAAAAAAGATAAATTAAAAATCTAAAGTGAATGATAAAAGTAATTGAAAGATGTCACACAGATACATGTTCAAGGAACTGCCAATGCCAAAGTCAGGTTAGGACCAGAAGTAACATAATATGCTCCATTTCTCAGTAAGCAACCTTTTTGGTGCAGGGTCTCATCTCACAGCTCAGACTCACAGTGATCCCCCTATTTCCGCCTCCCCAGGTCTGGGTGAGCAGGTGTGTGCCACCGAGCTGGCATGCCACGCAGTACTAGGGATGCAACCTGGGTCCTTGCACTTGCCTAGGCAGGCACTTAGACTGCTGAGCTACCCCAGGGCCTGTAAGCACTCCTTAAGAACTGTTTTACTTTAAAAAAAAATCAAAGGATAGCAAAATAGATTAGCATATCTGTGGGAGGGCGCAGCTCATGTCTGAAATGTGAGCCAAAGAAAAGAGGCAGGAAATGTTTTCACTATAGAAGTGTGGTTAGCATTAAGATAGATGATGGGAGTGATTGATATAGCCAAAGGCTTTCTGGAAAAAGAGTTATGAGCTTGCCGCCAGCTAGATAAAGTAGGATGGGACTTTACAAAACTTGTCAGTTGGCTGAACTCTCCAAGGACTGGGCACATTTGTCTTGGGAAGTTTGGCATCTGTAACTCTTCATTATTAGTCTGAGTTGCTTTTCACATCATTCTTGTTTTAATTTAGTTGTCATGTTCCTAATTGAAATACTAGCTTTGCCCATTTAAAGTTTAGTTCTCATTAGAACAAGCATGTTAACACTTAAAGCTGGACCTATTACTTCGCATTACCTTTGAAAATGTTCTTGGACCGGGGGCAGCAACTAGTATCATTGGGAATCATAGAAACACAAAATCATCAGCCCTACCCTGCTACATTCAGACCCAGAATCAGGGTGTGGGGTTCAGTGTAGGTCTATAGATCATTGTCATTTTTTTTCAAGATTTCCAGATAATGAACAGCCTGTAGATATCCACCTATCTCTCCCAGAGCAGCACATACAATGTCAAAAGTCAACCTCCAGCAATCATCAAGTTTTGAGGGCTTGTTACACCACAGATCACTGAAGCCCACCTTCAGCATGAAGCTGAAACCCTTGGTGCGGGTGAAAGGACCATCTTTTGAGTGCCAGCCAAGCTTAGACTGTAAGTCAGAGATCTCTGAGTCCACCTCTTGACTCTTTGGCTTGCTATGGTTTACGCGCAAGAACGTCAAGTATTAGTTACTTGCTTATCAAAAATGACACAAAAAGTTCTTCTCTGAGACTGTCACATTTTTTGATGTTCTGAGTCAAAGAAGTTTTCATTTCTGGAAAAGAAAAAATCTATCATACTTACATTAGTTCATAAAGATACTATTACATTGTGTCTAAAAGATTGTATTAGTATAAAAATGATTAGTCTTTTTTATGATACTGTTTCTCCTTACTGATAAAATGTGTTTACATTGTTATTTGATGCTGTAAACTGATAAACAAGTAAATTAAATTTTGTTTATATGTGAACTCATTAATGATGTAGTTTATGACATACTTTGTCAAAGATGCATTAATTATTGTATGTTGAAGTAAGTTTTCTATACCTAAGTAGGATCACTGATATCTCAATTAGCTTCTAAATGAACATTTAAAATTTGTGTACTTTAGGCAAAAAAAAAAAAAAAAGTGAAGCTGAAAGCTGATCAGCATTTCATAATCTCAGTTACGTTTTTATTTTTCTGCAGGGTTTTGAAATTAAGTACACATAGCAAGTTCATTTGCACTTCTTAATATCTGAATCATTTTAAGAGTTTGAAAATTAGAGGAGCTCATCTATTTGCTTTTAGCAGTCACATTTGCCACAAAGACTGCAGATCCACAGAATTCCTCCTCTGTGATTCTGAAACACAAGCCTCAATAATAATTAACCTTATTTAACTGGCATCTAAATTGTCATTAAATGAGATAATGTTTTAATTAAGAAGATTAACCTGAGGTTACTGAGATAGAACTGTGCATTTCCTTTGTGCTGAATTGCTAATGATAGGGTATTTTATGAGTTTTGAATCATGCTGAATTAAGTAAAATACAAATATATTTGTTCGGTGTAAGGGTTTCATTAGTAAATGTGACTATATTGGTTATTTCCTACACTAGTTTTATTCTAGTTTGAAGTACAGTTTAGTAGGAACTCTATGTTATTTCAATCTCTAAAGAATCACTTTTTGAAAGTTTATTTGTTGTAGGAAAATCTAACAATTCAAAAATAAAGTAGAAAGGGATAAATCTAAATCTAAAAACTAAAGTTACATACATGAAAGGACATGGAAATTTATTCTATGGGGACCCGGGAGATGGCTCAGTAGAATAAGTGCTTCCCTGACAAGCGCAAGGGGTCTGAGTTCAATCCCCGGTTCCGCAAAACAAACAAACAAACAAACAAACAAACAAACAATCTTCTACCAGAGAGATAGCTCAGCTGAATAAGCACTTGCCTGGCAAGTGCAAGGATCAAAATCAAGAGCAGGGGGCCAGCCAAATAGCTCAACAGATTAAAGCACCGATTCAATCCTCCCATGCTGGCTCTGCCTCCAGGGCGCAAGATAGCAAATGAGACTGGGCATGGTGGCGCACACTTGTAATCCCAGCTTTTAGGAGACTGTAAACAGGTGGATCATTATGAATCTGATCTAGCAGTGAGACCCTGACACTCTATAAGCCCTTCCCTAAAAAATACAAAACAAAACAAACCCAGAACAACTTTGAGTATCCACATCATTCGTGTCTGGTGGGGGTTCTATGCTACAACTACCTGAGAAGAGCAGTGTCTTCTGTTTTGTTTGCTAGAATTTCTGGTTAATTTTTTAGAGCTTTTCACAAGTTGTCATTGCATAATCGGTACGTTCATCATGTTATATTTACATATTCCAGGTGTGAGACTAAGGATCCTACCCTTACATAGCTAAGTTATTAAGAGGAAGTGCAACAAACACGATTCACAAATGCTTGTTAGCTGGACAAGAAACCATTTTGATTTGAGCTGCATCTTCTTAAGTACAAGATGATCTCTGCTAGTTTTATTGAAAGAGATGGAATCAATAAATTTGATTTTAGGATTCTTAAAATAGCTCTGAGTTTTTTTTTTTTTTGTTGTTGTTGTTGTTTTTTTTTTTTAAAGGGAGCAACCTTTCAAGTGTCTGTTGGCCTACTTGTAAAACAGCAGTTATGATGAAGACAAATGAGAAAAAAATGGGTAAGGTCTCCCTGAAAAGAGAATCTATGTTCTATACAATTCATAGAAAAATTATGATAATATTCTGTTAAATATCTAATTTAGAAAGATTGTTAATAAAGTAGCCACATTTATATCCAGAATTGTCTGAATTGTTGCTGAAATACCTCATTTTTCTCAGATGTTTATATTTGTTCAATTGTTGGTATCAGTCTAGCTAAAATTTTGAGGCTTGGGAGCATCCTAAGATCAAAACTCCATAACTAAAATATAGCCAGTGCATTCAGCTTTTCATGTGAACCACGAAGCCCGCGCTTACTTGGGAAAGTGTTCGCTTTTCATTTCTTTTCTTTTCTTTCTTTCTTTCTTTTTTTTTTTTTTTTTTTTTTTTTTTTGTGGAACCGGGGATTGAACTCAGGCCCTTGCACTTGCCAAAGAAGTGCTTATTCCACTCAGCCATCTCCCCTACCCCTAGTGTACACTTTCAATAGGACAGATTTTGTGCAGGACACTGAAAAGTTAGCCCTGGTTTTCTATTTTTTACTAGAATTGAGAGGTGAACTTTCATTACCAATAAGTAAATCAAACAATGTAACACAATATGTTTGGCAAGTCTTTCTAGTTTTCATGTGGAAATAAAAAGTGGTGCTCATCATGGTCCACTGGTACAAACTATCACCCACATAACAACAGCTGAATTTGCAACTGGGGAAGTCATGGGATCCTTTATTAAGATTAATAAAAGTCTTTTTGGAAGATATAATGGTGGTGTTCAAATTGTCAAATTTTGTTCTGAAGAGTACTCAGTACAAGTGCATTAGAACCTCTATCTTGAAAACACCCTAACTATGGTTCTTCAAACTCGGGAGAGTGATTCCTCTCAGTGCTGCATAAGTAGTACTGTTCGTCTGCAGAACAAAGAGCGGAGGGGACATTTGAGACAGCGCAAAGAGCATGCAGGAATCTCTCTCCTTATTCTTAATTCTCTATCCTCAAACTTTTCTTACTTTCTATTTGGGTAACTTGAGTGTGTTCAGATGCTGAAATGAGGAAAACAAGTGTGAAGCCTTCCCCTTCCCCTGGCAATGCTTTAACTATAGCCAGAGTGATGTTAATGCTGGGAAATTGCCCTCACTATGTTCTGTGAATACAGCGCATACATCAGAGGTAGGAAAGCTATTGTGTGGAGGAAAAAATCAAGTACAACTCTCTACAAGGACATCTTAAGAACAGCTTCCAAGTGAAAAGAGCATCATTTCTTTTTACCTAATTAGGAGATAAAATGTGTAAAGTAGAAATTTAGGGGTTTTCTGCAAGACATCTTTACAGGATCAATGCAGAGGGCATTGTACCATGGATTTTTCTTTGTTATATAAAGATACATGAGGTCTTAGAAAGAGAACTTGAGGACGCAAGGATGACCTATAATAAAATACTCAAGGCGCTCCCAGTGTTCCTGCCTTGTGCTCCTACAGGCCTCATTTAATGAAATATTTGCAAATAGTTGTGCTGTTTCAGCAATATTTCCATATTTTTCCCAATAAAAAAATCATTTCATCTATCTTATCCACCAGCATTTCATAAGCCGTGTTCCAGAGTATGATCTGCCAAAATAATGCTGATATTGGTACTAATACTAATAAAATTTTTAGGCTTAGTCTTCTCTTTATTGGTAGTTTTTATGCTTTGTCTATTCTTATCAAGATTCTTTATGCTTAGTCTATCCCTTACTGGAGGTTCTTTATGCTTAGGCAATTTTATGGGAGATTTATAATACACATTAACATATACTATACTAAGTACTCTAAGAAATGATGTGAAAGAAGCTAGATTTTCCCATAACGAAGAACTTTCAACTGTTTGGACCATTGCATTTCCTCTTTTCTTGTAACACTCTCAACCTGTCTGATGTGACTTACAGAAATGTTTGTCCTAACATCATCTGCCTTTTACCACCTATCACCAACTTTTTACCTGGCAAAGTGAGAAAAAAACAAAGAAGACATGTAACAAAAAGGTTTCCACATCTTCAAATCATTTCTACATTTTTCTACCCGGCTCTATGTCTGGACTTCTTAGAGCAAGCTCAAAATGATGAGTTTGTCTTATGAGTAAAGGAAACTTCTTTCCTCTTCCAAAGGCAGCTTGTTCATGCACCAAGCATGCCATCCATCAAGTCACTCATGCAGAGAGAAAGGATGAATGAACACTTTTGTGTCACTTACCTTAGGATATGGGTACTGCTTTGCTTTGGGGTATAATGCTCCAGTAAAGCGAGGGACAACCATGTTAGGCACCAACGAGTCATTTATCATCAGGAAGGCGAGCCTTTCTCCATCTGGTGACCACCAGTGGGCGATGTGAGAATGCAGAATTTCTTCTAGAATAAACAATGAGTGATGTTTGAAACCACCTCTAGAGATTTGCGCTCAGTGACGCACAAACATTTGTCCTTGATATCTTCATACTTTCTAGACAGCTAGACAGTGTGCTGGATTTTATGAGAAGTCTATATCTCTGAGGTTTTTTTTTCTTTGTTTGTATTGTTTTTTAATTTAAAGAATACCAGACATGGAGAGATAGGACGGAATGAAAAAATCAGGATTGCATAGTATTTCAGACATGATTACAGAGCATGTGAGAACATTGCTGAGCGAAAAGATTGAGTACAGTAATTAAAGAATGCAATATTACCACACCCGTATTACACTTCATTCATATTTATAGCCATTTGCTTTCCATTTTCTCATCAGATAAGTTGAAGATCAACTAAAGTCACTTAACTATTTTAAGCTCTAAAGAAATAAAACCAAAAATATACTGAGTATTTTTTATGTACCTCAACATCTTGTATCTACTTTCTGGTCAAGAAAGTTAATGTGCGTGAGCTACATCTGAAGGTCCCCGTGCCCTCTGGCTTTGAGCGGGCATCATCAACATAATGCTTTGGCAGCAGATTAGAAGGGAGGAGGCAAGTGAGGTTGCTCACTCTCAAGGGCTCTCCAGTAATATCACTCCAGGCTGGCTCTGTGTTTTAAAAGATCTCACTACTCTTATCAGTGCAGCCTCTTCCACAATATGTTCTCCTCTGTCTAGTAATAGCTGATCCCTATATTCATGAGTATGATAAAAGTAGGCCGGCTGCTACTAGTTTAGATTATATCACTTTCCTCTGTGCCTTCCCTGTGACTCTTAACTTTGTAAATGGTCTGGGAAGAAATTATCTTCATTACCTTATTGAATATGACAATTATTTCCTTTTGGACACTTATGGAAATAATAGTTAATAGAGTTGACTCAGAAAACAGATTTTCAAAATTAGATTTTGAGATTAGGTTTTTATTTATTTATTTATTTATTTATTTATATTTTTATTTATTTATTTGGCAGAACCAGGGATTGAACTCAGGCCCTCATGCTTGCCAGGGAGGTGCTTTTTCTACAAAGCCATCTCTCTAGCCCCTAGGTTTATCTTAAATACATAGATAGACCATAGATACATAAATAAGCATAATTTTCTCAGGAGGAAATTGGAAGACTCAGGGCAAGAGACAGTGTTGTGTTTAATCAGAGGTGGTAACATGAAGCAATAAGCAGTTAGATGGGAAAGATTTTGAAGGTACAAGTATCTGTGGCACTTAGATGCTCCAAGTATAATTGTGCTTGTAAAAGTATGAGACATAGTTGACATAGTTACTCTGGTAACCCAAAAAGAGTGTGTATGAAAGAAGAGAAATTGAAACTGTTGTAGAAATTAGATATTCGCATGTAGTAAAAAAAGTTCACTACAACATCTTTGGAAGATCCCTTCTCTTCCGTGGTTAGGAAACATAAAGCTAAGGTATGGGAGTGGTTGGAGACCTGTAGCACAGATTAAGGTCTCAACACTATAAACATAGACATTGTGAAGTAGACCTAGGCACCTTGCATGAATGCTAAAGATACTTCAGTGCAGAAAAATAAAATGTTTATACTTCTGTACCTCTTCCATAAATAACAATTTTGTAATTATAAAGTTTCATAATTGAATGTTGCTCTATGTAGCTGATTTTACAGTTAAAGATCTTTTAATTAGATCACATTTAGGACAGAATGGTAAGGTATGTTTGGAAAATTTGGTACATGCGTATACTATGTCTTTATCATTTTCAATTTTAGTATATCTTCTTTCTTGAATTTTGTTTTTTTTCTATATTTAGGACAGGGTCTACAGGGTTTCACTGCATAGATCGGACTTGTAGTGATTCTCCTGTTTTCAGCCTGCCAAGTACTGGGATTATAGGTACCACCACACTCAGTGTCAATTGCTGGCTCAGTGTGCCCCGGGGGCGGGACTGGCACAGCGTGCAGGGGATGGCCCCTGGCCCCTGTGCTCTGCCTAAGCAGGCACTTCAGTTCGCTGAGCTATCAGGCCGGCCACCTCCTTTGAAATTTTTTTTCCTTTGAATTTTAAACCTCAAAATTCACATATTTCCGCTTGCTGATAGAGGTAATCTTTACAAAGAAGCCATATCTCTCGCACACAAAGGCAGAGAATTAGTGTCAAATTTCAGTGAATATATTTAGGAGTCTGAGGACTGGGAAGTTTATAGGAACTTGGTAGTTTGGAACATATTGTGATATCTTTTCTAAAGTGAGAGAAAAATCGACAGTGTGTTTGTTCAAAAGTTAAGATAAATTAGACACTGAAATTTTTAGACAGCACAAAGCATTTTGTGTGTGTTGACTTGTTCATTTTCCCGGGTGAGCTGTATAGCTGCTGGTCTGAGTTGACCCTGAGCAATGAAGCACTCCAAATGGAGAGGCAGGTCGTAATGCCAGCTTCCCTACCTCCTGTGTCTTGTTACCTAGCAGAGGTAGTCTGGCTGATGCTAGTTTAGATTGCATCACTTTCCTCTGAGCCTTTCCTGTGACTCTAACTTTGTAAATGCTCTGTAAAGAAATCATCCTCAGATTATCTTATTGAATATGCCAGTTATTTCCTTTTGGGACTGTGAGAGAAATAGTAGTTAACAGTAAGAGTTGATTCCGAAAACAGAATTTTAAAATTAGATTTTGAGATTAGGTTTATCATAGACAGACAGACAGACAGACAGACAGACAGACAGACAGACAGACAGAGTATAGATACATAAATATGCATAATTCTGTGCATGACAAACAGGATTCTATGTGGAACCCTCTGAACTCCCACAAAGATAACAGCACAGGCATTTCAAGCTTAGAGAAAGAGTATTTTCTCTCATGATATTAGATGTTCTATTTTTCAAAAGCAGTTCTCTACTGGGCTCTACTAGAAACAATTAGGCTGATTGTGGTTTATGAGAGACGAAGCAATCCAAACTGATCATAAAAAACTAGTTATTATATGATCTACCAGCCATAAAACTGAACATACACATCATCCTGATGTAAACTAAAACTGGTCTACATGGGACTCGGTCAGAAAGTGTACAAGATAGCCCAGAATTTGTATATGTTTCATCTTTCTCACTGCATGTGTCTTCCTTGAGTTGTGTTTTTCTACAGAAGTTGGTGCAGGAGAAGTAAATGTTGCCTTGGCTTATACTTAGGTCTATTTTACAGAGGTGAAAAATCTGAAATTGTATGAAAATCTGATTTGAGAATGACATTAGAAAGCCAGAATCGACATAAGTCTTGCAAATTGGCAGAAACTTGAACAAAATATTGACTTGTTCCTTTTTTGTTTGTTTTGATAGATTTGGCTATAAGCATGTTCCTTCTTGACTCAAGTTTAGTTACACTAACAAATGATCACTTGATCAGAGGGGATGAATAACTCCTGGCAGGGGGCCTAGAATTCATAAGTGGTTAGACTTCTTAAAGTAATAAATATGAGAAAATTTTAGTAATGTATGCCATGTGGACGGAACATATCCACATTTGAAATTGCTGTCAGGGGCTGGAGAGATGGCTCAGTGGTCTAAGGCACCTACTTAGAACAAGCTTGGCAAAGCATCAGGGACCGCGGTTCAATCCCCCAGCACCACATGCCAGCCAGCCCCGCCCCCTGGTGGGCTGAGCTGGCCACACACACACACCACACACACTATCTCACTCTCTCTCTCTCTCTCTCTCTCTCTCTCTCTCTCTCTCTCAAATAAATAAAAATAAAAAAAATAAAAAAAAATGAAATTGCTGTCAATGGTGAAATACACAAGACGCCTTCCATGTTCATGGCAGCCTCTGCATCCCACCCTTGCTTGCCAGTGCTAGTGCCCTCAGTGAGCCATTGGTTCAGCATTACTGCCCAGTATATTGGATGACTACGTGGTAGCATCTGGATTAGATGGGATCCAGGGCAGCATCTGCTTCAGAGAGAGTCTATGCTGGGAATGGATTTGGCTTTATTACCTACTCTCTGATCAGCACTGAGATACATGAGTGTATCCAACAAATATGTGAGTTAACCCATAGCACATCTTGCAATATCTCCAAATCAGAAATAAGTTATAAGAAACAAAAGGGCCAAGGGACTCGTTCATCGTGGGGTTTAGTAGTCTCATTATGCTGCCATTAGTGTCATGTCCTGAACTGATGGGGTTGGAATATTCATCTTTGCCTAAGTTTGGGCACTTGTGTTTGAAATTGCTGAAGTCTGATAGCATGTCAATGTGTTTCCTTCATCGTTGGAAGGAACAGACCTAGGCAGTAAGGGTTGGAAATGGTACTGCTATCTCATTGCCGCCAGTGACTTACTGGGTCCATTTTGCTTTCTGTTCTAACAGGGAGGTTGGTCAGTTTAGGAGTCCCATGTTTTGAAGGTTCAATCCCTCCAGAAGGAAGGTAGTACAGTTCCATTTTCCTGAAGGGGAAGATCACATTTGTCCCCTCACCATTTTAACATCATTATGATTAAGAAAAAAAAAAAACATTGGATAAATAAAACCTCTCTCAAAGATCTGACAACAAACCACAATCACTGTTTATACATCTCATCTACAAGAAATAAAATATGCCTTTCCTATGCAAAAAAATTTAAGGAGAAATGGAAAGGATTCCCAAATAATTATTTACTCAATAGTGCTGGTTAATAAAACATTAACATTTTAGCAATCTAATAAATAAATGATGTCCTAATTAAAATTTGGTGGGAATAAAGTTTTGTTTGGCCCAGCAGTTAATAGACCTATTGAAGTTGGTGAATAAGTAAGAAAAAGGGAAACATGTAGTTGAAGAAGGAAGTTCTGATTATCATTTAAGGCCACACAAAAGCTAACTTGTAGGTGGAATCATTTTCTTCATAACCTGAAATGAAAAACAAAAGTGGTAGATATATTTACAAAATTCAGATCAATAACTGGGCATATATAATCCTGCAATGATGCAGTCACTGATGGGACTTCATTTGCTTCTTTT